GTCTTTTATGGTTTCTTGAAGTAGCTTTTTATAGTTTTCTTTGTAGAGGTCTTTTGTGTCTCTGGTAAGATTTATTCCCAAGTATTTTATTTTTTTGGTTAGTTTGTGGGTTTTTTAATTCTGATTTTTGCCTTCTACTGATTGGGGAAACATGTCATGCTTCAGTCCTCTCAGTGGGTAGTCTGGACAGGTCACATGGCGTTCTGCCAGGATCTGAAGTTAATCGTTACCTCTACCATATTTACTGATCAATACTGAGCCCATAGCCTCACCCCAGCTGGCTCCACCGGTGGCGCACATGCCCCCTCTTGTTCTGAGGTCTAGCATCTGCTCTTCATTGAACCCTGCAAGATGTGAGTGTCGTGTGTTCTTCCTCTGTCCCTCACGTGTTCTTTGTCCTCATGTGTTCTTCCTCTGTCCCTCACGTGTTTTTCCTGTCCTCGCGTGTTCTTCCTCTGTCCCTCACGTGTTTTTCCTCTGTCCCTCACGTGTTCTTCCTCTGTCCCTCACATGTTCTTCCTCTGTCCTCACGTGTTCTTCCTCTGTCCCTCACGTGTTCTTCCTCTGTCCTCACATGTTGTTCCTCTGTCCATCACGTGTTCTTCCTCTGTCCTCACGTGTTCTTCCTCTGTCCCTCACGTGTTCTTCCTCTGTCCTCACGTGTTCTTCCTCTGTCCATCACCTGTTCTTCCACTGTCCTCACGTGTTCTTCCTCTGTCCATCACCTGTTCTTCCACTGTCCTCACGTGTTTTTCCTCTGTCCTCATGTGTTCTTCCTCTGTCCCTCACGTGTTCTTCCTCTGTCCCTCACGTGTTCTTCCTCTGTCCCGCATTCTTCCTTCCTCTGTCCCTCCCGTGTTCTTCCCCTGTCCCTCCTGTGTTCTTCCTCTGTCCCTCCTGTGTTCTTCCTCTGTCCCTCATGTGTTCTTCCTCTGTCCCTCATGTGTTCTTCCTCTGTTCTCATGTGTTCTCCTGTTGCTCGTGCATTTTTCTTCTGCCCCACACATGTCCTTCCTCTGTCCCTCATGTGTTCCTCTGTCTCTCCCATGTTTGCTGAGCTGCTGACTCCTTGTGGATTAAGTCTTGTTTCTCCCAAAACAAAACCTTGCTGTCTGCTGTCCTGAGCACATTCTGTTGTTGTTGTTGTTGTTAGGGGCCGTCGAATCTGTGCCTCCTCAGAATGACCTCACGACAGCGGAACGTCGCACTGCACATCCTGCACCATCCTCCCAGCTGTCGCTGTGCACGAGTCCAGTGTTGCAGCCCTGGGTCAGTCCCTCTCATTAAGGGTCTTCCTCTTTGAGGTCCTTCTCCAGGGACCGGTCCATGGTGAGAACATGTCCAAAGGCTGTGAGGCAAAGTCTCGCCACCCTCCCTTCTAAGGAACATTCTCACTGCACTTCTTCCAGGACAGGTCTGTCGTCCGCTTTGTTCATTGATCTTCCAACACCACAGTTCAGCACTTAGTTCTCTGGTCTTCCTCACTCATTCTTCAGCTTTCACACGCATATGAGGCGATTGAAAGTACCATGGCTCCAGTACCATGGCTCCAGTACCATGGCTCCGTCAGAACTTACTCTTCTGAGTGACATCTTTGCTTCTTTAATGCTTTAAGGAGGTCTTTGTCTTTGCTCTTCAACGTTTCAAGGAGGGAGGTCTTGGTCTCTGCTCTTTAATGCTTTAAGGAGGTCCTGGTCTCTGCTCTTTAATGCTTTCAGCAGGTCTCTGGCAGCAGATTTGCCCAGAGCACCACATGTTGTCTTCTCCCTCAACACCAGCTGAGTGACAGCTGGTTGAGCCTCAGCCTGAGGGCAGGGTGGCCCCTGGGAAGGACAGGAAGGTGCTCAGACAGAGGGCGGAGGCACCACGAAGCCTGTTTGACTTGCTCCTCCTGTTGGGAGACCTGCCACTGTGAGTCCTGGGCCTCTGAGGATGCCTGATCACCTGCAGTGACTGAGGGTGCCTACCCTGCCTGGGGCATCTGGGACACCGGGCCTGGCCACGCCTTCTCTGCCTTCTTTCTGTATCTCCTCCCTGGGCCCTTAGCTGGGTCCTGCTTCGATCGCGCTGCAACAGTGGACGGTGATTGAGCTTGTCTCGCCCGTCAGTTGCTACCTGCCACCTCCTGTGGATGGAGCAGATGTCCGGTACGGCAGCCCTCGTCGCTCCATACCTGCCCTCGCGCTGGGTCATCTTCCCTGTCTCACAGCTCCACCCTCTGTGCCGTGCGCGGCTCGGCTGGGACACCCTTGTCTGCGCTCTGTCACAGTCTATGCTGTCGCTCTAGGCCCCGTCTCACTCGGCACAGATGGCAGTGGCACTCGTCCAACGCCCCCCGCCCATGCATCCTGCCGAAGGGTCGGCGCACAGCCCGCCCGGCCCCTTCCTTGCCCGGCTCCCCATTTCCCTAAGAGCTAAGACCAGAGTCCTGCCGGCGCCTGGGGGGGCTCTGCTTCTGGCCACCCCGCCGCCTTTCTGGCCTCTCTTTCTCCTGCCCCTCCCCTTTCTGGCCACACTGCCTCCTTGCTGCCTCTGCACCCAGGCAGCTCCTGGTGTCCCCTTCTCCTTTGGGTCGTCCGGGCCTCCCACCATGTGCCCTTCAGGTCTCTGCTTCTCAGAAGGCATCTTGCACACATCTACCTGTCAGTCACCAGTCACGGGTGTCGTAACTTACTGATGATGCCCATCACTCGTCTCGTGCAAACCCAGCACCGTGTTCCGAGGCGTTCCTGCACACGGAAGGGTGTTCCTGTGCCCTGGGGCCCCCAGAGCTCTGTGTCATCAGGTGTCCCTTCTGTGTCGCGTGGTCTCCGTCCCTGTCCGTCAGCCCGTCAGCCTGTGGTTGGGTGGATTTCGTTTGGTTTTGATGAAGGCACGGGTTTTTGAGTCTGGGCATTGATGGCTCCTGAGCCAGTGGCCAAGGGGCTACGTGCGGGGAGTCCTGAGAGACGCACCTGTCACCTGGCGCTCCTGCGCCACTGCTCCTGTGTCACCTGTCACCACCCCGTGTCACTGCTGTGTCCCTGCACCTGTCACCGCTCCTCTCTCACCATTGCTGTGTCCCTGCACCTGTCACCGCTCCTGTGCCACCTCTCCTGTGAGCAGGTGACTGAGGGCCTGCATGCTGGGCAGTCCTGAGAGACCCAGGAGTCACAGCTCTTGGGTCATATCTCGTGTTCCACCCTGTGTTTGGGGACTGTGGTGGTCATCACTTGGCCTGGTTTTCTACTTGTTGCTGGGTCTCCCCCACACATAGGCACCTGTTTCAGGACTGTGACCCTGCAGCTTCCCCTCTCTGGGGGTCCAGTGCTGTCTTACTCGCCAGCAGGTGGGGCACCCCCACGTTTCTACCTGAAGCGCCTGCTCTGTTATGAGTAGGTAGGGAGTAGGCAGTGCGGGGAGCAGGGACAATAGCTGACCTCAGAAAGCCCCATGGTTCTTGCCATGAGACCTCAGGAAAGGCCAGGAAAAGGGAGGAGTTAAGTGGGGTCCTCTGGTGAGCAGGCATAGACCCCTGAATCCCAGAAGTGGGGGTGGCAGACTTGGAGGAAGGGTGAGGGGAAGGCATTCCCCTTGGGCTGACACTGTTGTGGACAGAGTGTCTGAAGCCACCAGCCCTCCCAGGTTACGTAGCCACTTGGGGTGATTGGGGAGACGCTGCTCATCTGTTGAGTGATTGTCACTGAACAGGGCAGGGGCAGTGGGATAGTGAGGGGGATGGTGAGGATAGTGGGGGGTGGTCATGGCTAGGGGACATCAGGGATGGTGAGCACCAGGGAGCAGTGATGGCTGGGGAAACAGTGGGGGCTGGGAGTCCATTCTCGTCACAGCGGGTGCTGGGGCTCCACTTGCTTCCGGGCTGGGTGGTTCCCCACTGTGTGTAGAGACCACAGCACACACATCCAGCTGTCCGTGGACAGGCACCTGCATTGTGCCCACCCCTTGGCCATTTGGGCAATGCTGCCGTGAGCAGAGGTGGATCCACACAGGCGTCCCTGTCAGGTCTTCTGGGTGAGAACCAGAAGTGTGGTTGCTGGGCCAGACAGTGACTGTGGTGAGCTGTGTGAGGAACCTGTTTCCAAGGCCCTTTCTGGGCCCTGTGGGGCCTGTGGAACGTGCCCTGGGAGATGCCGCCTGAGACAAGGCTGTCCCACAAGGGCTCTCTGAAGGGAGCGTTTCTCCCGGCAACCCTGGGCCTCACGGGTGGCCAGCACCTCCTGCGGCCAGGCGGTTGGGAGGAGTGTACACGGAGGCCCTGGCCCACCCCAGGATGCAGCAGTCCAGGTGGCACACACGACCTCCCCTAGGGCTTTTCCCCCAGCAGGGCTGAGGTCACGCAGTTACGGCATCGTGGGGTGCCTGGTGGGCGTGTGCCAGGCCAGGGTCAGCACCAGCCTGCCAGTGGGCTCTGTGCCATTGTCCCAGACTCGGACCACACGGACCAGCTCTTGGTGCCCGTGATTTCTCTTTGGTTGTCTCCCTTTGGCTCTCAGTAGTATGGGTGTTCTCCAGGTTGGGATGGGGACGCAGGCAGGAACCAGCCTTTGCAAACAGTGTTTGTGTGGGCAGGTCGTGGGTCCTTGGGGAGGGGTGTCTGTGGACACGAGACCCACTGACAGCGTGGTTGGACTAGAGTCTACGTGGTTGTACACGGCATCTTCCGGCACCAGCCTGGCACTTTATCCCACAGAGGTCCACGCCAGGCCGTTGTTGGTCTGGGCTCCATGGCACACAAAGAGGCCGGCACACTGGAGAACCCCCCCCCCCAGGGTGCTCAGAAGTCACAGTTTGCCAAACGCACATCCTGGTCACACACACAGGGTGTCTGGTCCCATGCATGTGGTGTGTGGTCACACAGATGTGGCATGTGGTCGTGCACTCAGGGTGTCCGCTCACATGTACATGGTGTGTGGTCACACATTCAGTGTTTGGTCATGCATACAGGGTTACCGTCATACATGCATGGTGTCTGGTCACACACACAGGGTGTCTGGTCCCACGCATGTGGTGTGTGGTCACACAGATGTGGTGTGTGGTCACGCACTCAGGGTGTCCGCTCACATGTACATGGTGTATGGTCACACACTCAGTGTTTGGTCATGCACATAGGGTTACCGTCATACATACATGGTGTCTGGTCACACGTGTGTGGTCACACGGATGTGGC